TTAAACAACAAAGGCCATATACTCGGAACCGGTCGTGGTAAGACTCAGTCGAATCATTCTTTTCCCTTTCACCCTGGCCCCCATGGGGATCGGGTAGGCTTTTGCATAGGCTCTAGTTCAGGTTTTGGCGGATCCATCTTTCGAAGGACTCGGCTTTACCCTGACCTCCCATACAAAATACCTTTTCGCGTGTCTACCGGGGTGCCCAGCCCATGGTAGCGTTGATTGCTGTGCTTTCTGTCACTGAGAAGGCAGTGAAGGGCCTGCTGCCACCCAAGGCCCCCCCCATGGCAAGGAGGAGCAGCGGGAGGAGGCAGACAGTGGGCATGGCCGGCGGCTGCGCTCCGGGAAAGAGCCTGAGGAGAGATGGGGAGTGCCAAGTAAGAGGCCCCTGGCCCAGGCTGCAAGCTCTTTTTCTGCCCCGGGACCCCCAGCAGGGTAAGCTCCATGCCACAGTCGGTGGGAGTCACTCATTCACCCACCACCATGCCAGAGCCAGAGCCCCAGATGGTGAACTCGGCTGGGAGAGGAGGGGCCTCCAGCAGGGCGCGTGAGTGAGCAGTGAGCACAGGCAGGCTTGGGGGCCATCAATCATCCCCCACCCCCACCAACCCCCCACCCCTGGAAAGGAGCCAGGAGGCCTCGCCTCAACTGGGCCACACCCAAGGGGGCAGCAGAGCCAGATGCTGGGGAAGGCAGGGCGGGAGGCCCTCCTGGAATGAGACCCGAACACCAGATCCCAGAGCTGAGGGCGGCTAGCCACACACAAGAGCCACAGTAGGCAAACCCCAGGCCACAGAGACGCCCCACGCCCAAGTTGGGGGAAGGGGAAAGGCAGGGAGAGAACAATCACAAGCGGGGGGTGGGGGGGTGGAGGGGAACACCATTCCAGAGTGGCATTGCCACCAGGGGCCTCAGGACAGAGGTCTGGGGCATCAAGGCCTAAGACTGGACCCATACCACCACCACACTGCCAGTCCTGGCCTCCTCACCCCGAGGGCCTCCCTCAGCCGGCTGTCCAGGAGCCTGCTGTCTGGCCTACCGATCGCAACACAAAGCCAAGTCTCGCCTGCTCTCCCCCCCCCCTCCCCAACCAGGCACCGCCGAGACAGACATAAGTCAGGCTCTGCTCAGGCACAGCCAGATGGCCCGGGCAGCCCTGTGCGGCTCTCCTTCCAGACCCAGAGGTTAGCTGGAGAAGGAGAGGTGCCAGGGGGCCCAAGGAACCCCATGAAAGGGGATCATAGTCCCCAAATAGAGACTTTGGGGAAATGGGGTAGGGGCTGTAAGGACCCAGCTTGCCTGAGTCTTCACCCCCAGGCCACACCCAGCTCCCCTGCCAAATCCAGGTGGCAAAGATAGCACAGCAGTGTCATAGCAGCCAACGGAGGCAGCCAACACGGCAGGGCTCAGCGCTACCCTCTCAGTGCCCAAACCCCAAGGGAGACGCAAGGTACCCAGCTTTGGGGAGGGGGAGAGCCGGGGGTGTGTGTGCCAGGAACCAAACCAAGGAGGTGCAGAAGAGAGAACAGAAAAAATGCATTTGCTAGAACAAGGAGCAGGCCCAGCTTGAAACTGCAAAGTTTCAGCTCAAACTGATCACCTTTCCAGGGCTCTTTTGTCAGGTCCGCATCCTAGACCCCTAATGCAACAGCCAGAGAAGAAAGAAAGGCGAGAGAGAAGAGAGGCCGCCACGCACCCTCACCTCCTCCACACCCCGCAGGAACACAAGCATAGGAATGGGGGCCGCGACAGGTCGGGAGGAAGACCTGGAGAGGCAGGATTTGCATCCCAAGCACCCCATTCCAACTTCCACCTGTAAGTGGGAGCCTGGGGCGTCACACGCACGCACACCCCTCTGCTACAGCCCAGGCAGCAGAGCCCGAGGAGGACACCGCCCCTCGCAGAGACCTGGCTCCAGCGCCCGTTCCCCACTGCCCCCAATGCCCCCACCGTGCTGTTCGCCAGGCTCGCCCTGCCCCCCAACCAGGGGCACCCCTCGGCCGACCCACGGGGACCCTAGTGGATGGAGGCGCCACAGCAGTCCTTGGAGAGGCCGCTCCTCCGCCACAAAGGGTCCCCATTGGGTAGGGGGGCTGGGCTCGTGCGGGGCACGGAGGACCAGTCAGGCCTGCGCCCAAGGAGCAGGAGGAAAGGCAGGGCCCCACCCCCTCAAGGCCGACGGAACCCTCCGGCTGCCCGAACCCCGGGCCGCGGAGCAGGCTGGCCCCGCACGGGCGGGGGGGGATGGCGGAAATTACCTGTTATTCCGGGGCAAGTAAGAAATCGAAGGGGTGTCGACAATGATGCCACGCACTATTTTTTTGCCAGATTTTTTAGAAAATAATAAACTCTCGAGATTGACGCCAAAGTCAGACGCCAACATAGGCTTCGTTTACAGACGTGGATGCGGCGCGACGCTCGTCCTTGGGTAAGGGTGTTACTTCCACCCATAATTTCGATCTTGAAACTGACAATTTACCCAAAAGGGGAAGAATATAAAAAGAACAAACAGAAATGCGGAAGGGGTCCGCAGTACCCGCTCAAGAAGCCGCTCCAGGGGTAGGTGTGGAGCGATGG